GCAAACCAATAATTTTTTTATGGCACATGCTCTCTCCGCGCAAAGTAGCCAACCAACTTGGGGAGGTTCTGTTCCGGGACATAGAGTAGTCCATCGTGATCGGGAGGAGGCTCATCGCACTCTGTTTCGAGATTATTTTAGTAGTAATCCAACCTACGATGAAGATACATTTCGTCGAAGGTTTCGGATTTCTATTCATAATTTCAAACGTGTTATGTGAGCATTGGAAAATCATGATAATTTTTTCCAGCAACGTCGGGATGGTCTTGGTCGACTTGGATTGTCAACATATACAAAAGGGACAGCGGCGCTTCGTCAGTTGGCCTATAAAACTCCAGCAGATGGTGTTGATGAATATCTTAAGATTGCTGAGTCAACGGCCAATGAATGCGTAAAGAGATTCTGCCGTGGAGTCGTTGAAGTTTTCGGAGCACAATATCTAAGATCACCAAATCACGATGATATCGCTAGATTGCTTCATATTGGTGAACAACGTGGTTTTCCAGGTATGTTAGGTAGCTTGGACTGCATGCACTGGAATGGGAGAATTGCCCTAAGGCATGGGTTGGTCAATACGCTGGACGTTCCGGAAAGCCAACAATCATTTTGGAAGCTGTGGCAGATTATGATCTATGGATATGGCACGCATATTTTGGTATGCCAGGTGCGAATAATGACATTAATGTGCTGGAAGCATCAACTCTAATGTCAAATCTTGCTGAAGGTATCGCTCCACCAGCTAATTACACCATTCAAGGTAAACAATTTAATATGGGCTATTATTTAGCAGATGGTATATATCCAAAATGGTCCACTATTGTTCAGTCTTTTGTTGCACCATCAAATCTAATGGAGGAATACTTTAAAATGAGACAAGAGGCATGTAGAAAAGATGTTGAGTGTGCATTTGGAGTTCTGCAAAAAAGGTTTGCAATCGTCGCGGGTCCTGTTCGTTTTTGGAAAAAAGAGGTGCTTAATGATATAATGAAAACTAGTATTATTTTGCACAATATGAATGTCAAAGAGCAACGTGATCTTAGTGCGCCAATTAGAATTGATGTTCAATTTGGTGCTCATTCGGTTACTCCAGCACCGCGAGATCACGTCTCGTTTCAATAATTTCTTGCTCGACACAAACGAATCAAGGATAAGTCTGCCCACTATGAACTTCGTAGTGCATTGGTTGCACATTTGTGGGAAAAATATTCTCATGGCAATAACTAGTGTTGTATTTTATTTTCCGTAATTCTTATTGTATTGAATGTTCCATGTTTGTGTTGGTTTTTTTTTAATCAATGATTGTGATGTAATCCACGTGGTTTTATGATGCAGTGTGTAATTTTATGATTTTGATTTAAATTTGTTAATTAATCTTATTATTCAATAATTAATATATATTCATAGATATGTAAATTTTAGCAAGCATAATACATTAAAATGTAATTTGTAGAGATTATTTCTAATAAAATTATAAAAGAATATGCTTGGAATATTCTTTTAGAGGGGAATTATAGAGGGAATGTATTGGAGTTGCTGACACTGTTGAAACTATAAGGGGATGCTTGTTTATAAAACCAATCCAAAAAAATCCAATCATTTTTAACTCAACCACTTTTTTTAACTCAACTTTAACTCAACTCACTAACATCAATATAATTACATAATATCAATCAATCAACCCACTATCATCAATATTATCAATATAATTAAATAATATCAATCAATCATTCTTACACACAACATCAACCTTAATTTACTATTCATCTACTCACATAATTTTAACTAACAATCACATCACATCTTCTCTCTCCTACTTTTACATCAATTTAATTTTAATCGTTTTATTTTAAAAAATATTTTAATATACCAACTAACAATTAACCATACCAACTTTTTCAAATTTAACCAACCCAAACCAAAAACCCAATCAAAACAAAAAAATTTTATAAACAAGCATGCTCTAAAACTAGTGGGGTTTTACTGTAGAAACTGTATGAATAGAGAATATGGTTGGAGATGCTCTTACTACACTATAAAGAGTAGAGTAACTTCATCCACGAGGGGGTAAAAAAAAAAAAA